GACTTTATGATAGTATAGAAAGTAAATTACGAGCGCTGGAAAGCTTAGGACGCACCAAGGAAAAGTTTGTTGATTTCTTGGGACCTTTAGTAGAGTCGTGCTACCTGAGAATATTCTACGTGCTGGGAGCGGAGTCGAACTTCTGAAAGGGACAGGAAAAGAGTTCTGAAAGAAACGCTTGAAAAACTAATGTGTTTTTTTAAGGCATGAAGTAGAATCGGAAGAAATGATTAGATTAGCACAATCAGGATTTACTCATTCTGTTAAGCGTCTTAATAAAGTGTTATTTCAGGTAATTCAGATTTAGCAACAGATGCCGCGCTGGTAAGTACAAATGAAACCAGTAAAGGTAAGCAAAATGTTTGTATATTTTGTGGTAAGCCTCATATGAGTGCTAAGTGTTTTTTAAAGCTGAAAATATGAGCTTAAATGAAAAGAGGCAACTTGTACAAAGAAAGGTGTTTGTTTTCATGTTAAGAATTGGCCATTTAAAAACCAATGTAAAGCCAATATTAAATGCCCCATTTGCAGTTGTGATCATATAAAATTTATGTGTCCTCAGAAAGTTAGTTCTGTAAAACAAAAAGACTCTAAGTTGGATGTGTCCCTTTCTAATAATAGTAAGAGCGAGAAAGTTTATTTGCACTTTATGTGTTTCTAATTAAAGTTAAAGATCGAGAGAGAAAAAATTAGGATTCTTTTGGATCGGGATCCCAACGATCATACGTTGGGGAGGAAATTATGAAGCGAATGAAGGCTGATCCTATTCGACAGGAGAAAGTAATTCATGTTTGTTTGGGGGGAGGGAAACTGCGCCTGTAACCCATTCTGTTTTGCTATTGACATAAGCAGTTTAGATAACACTTTTAGTTGTTGTTTTGAAGCTTTTCTGAAAAAATGATATGTGGATTTGTTCCAACAATCAAGAATGCTAGATTATAGAGAATTGAAAGCTCAGGTCTTGAAACATTTTTTCATTGAAACATTGCGGATTGATTTTTGATAGGTGCAGATGTCATTGGTAAACTGTTAACTGACGAATACTAGAATTACCCTCTGGTTTAACTGCAGTCAAAACAAAACTGGGTTGGACGGTTAGGGTAAAGAAAATGATATGTAGGGATAATGCCCTAATAAGTCTTTCCCTACATGTAAATAATGCTTCTTTGGAATCTTTATGGGAACTCGAAGTTTTGGGTATTTCCGACCCGACGGAAAATAGTAAAACGAAAAATGTTCATTGCGACTAAGATAGATTTTCAGAATAAATTATCTATTCGTCCCAATGGTAGATATAAATTATAATTACCTTGGGAATGCGAATCTACCAATTTATCAGATAATAAAAGCATTGATTTGACACGTCATCAAAAATATTTAAGAGGGCAAAAGAAAATAATTCTTTGAAGGAATATCAAGAGGTGTTTAGGGAGTGGGAAATTTAAATATTATAGAAAAGGTTCCGGAAAAGGAGTTAAACAATAAATGTCACTTTTTACCACACAGACCGGTTATTAAGATAAATAGTGAAACCACTAAGGTAAGACCCGTTTTTGATGCTTGTTCTTGTGAAAAGGGAAAACCATCTTTGAATCGGTGTTTATTGAAAGGACCTAATTTAATAGAATTAGTCCATGATATTTTAGACAGAATGAGAGTTTTTCCTATTGGTCTAAGTGCAGACATAAAGAAAGCATTCTTGCCAGTTAGGAATTTCTCGAAGGATAGGGATTACTTGCGATTTTTCTATCCAAGTGATGAGGGAGTAATAGTGTATAGGCATTGCACAGTGGTTTTGGGAGTTTCCTGCAGCCCATATCTACTAGGTACGTCTATTAAACACCTCTTGGATAATTGTTCATCTGATTTTGTAGATGTGGCTGACAAATTAAAAAATTCGTTGTATGTCGATAATTGTATTACGGGTGTTTACAATATTGAGGAACAAGAGGATTAATTAATTCAAAAGGCCAAAAGTCTTATGTCGAGAGGCAGATCTAATTTACGGGGCTGGGAGAGCAATGTTGCTTCCAAATATACTACAAAACATTCTGGGGACACACCTCTTTTAGGAATATTGTGGAATTTAGACAGTGATACTTTAAGGTGTAATATAAATGTAAATACGATAACTTGTGATACTAAGGTAACTAAGAGACTGATTCTGTCTATTGTACAATCAATTTTTGATCCAATTGGAATACTTGCACCAATAACTTTGCTTCAAAAATTTTGTTACAAGAAACATGGAAGTTGAAATTTTCTTGGGACGAGGTATTGCCTCACGATTTTGTAAGTAAATTTTTTATGATGGTTATCTGATATACTTTTGTTGAAAAAAGTGGCAATACCCCGATTCATTGGAACCTTTGCAACAGCTGAATTGCATGTATTTGTCCATGCTTGCAAATATGCTTATGCAGGATGTATTTTCACGAGAAGTGTTGATTTATGTAGTGTAAAATCCGCTCTTAATAGGAGCCACTCTAGATCTTAATAGGAGCTCTTAATAGGATCTTAATAGGAGCCACTTAATAATCTTAATAGGAGCCACTCTAGAAAATGCTAGAGTGGCTCCTATTAAGAATTTGATGGTTCCTAGATTGGAATTCATGTCTGGTTGCATTGGATCCCAATTATTGTATTATGTTTGTAAAGCGCTCAATGTTTTTTACATGAACGTAACTTCATGGTGTGATCCCACAGTCGCATTATGGTGGGTTAGAAATCCTGGTAATTGGTCAAACTTTGTAAGCAATCGTGTTAAGGAAATTACTAAGTTGACAAAACCTGGATCATGGAGCCCATGTGCCCAGTAATATGAACCCTGCAGATGTTTTATCTCAGGGTTGCTCTGCTAAACAAGTGCTTAACGCGGAGTGGTATGAGGGACCTCTCTGGCTAAGAGAAAGCCCTGAATTTTGGCTTACCAATATTGTTTGTCAGCCGAATGAAGCTGACTTGGAAAAAAGAAAGGTAAAACTTATTAATGTTAACTTTTCAGAGGATACCACTCCTTGGTATGCAGAAAAAGGTTTCTGATTATGAGAAAATGATTCATATAACTGGCTGGGTGTTACGTTTTATTTCTAACTGTAGGAAGAAGTCAAATTGTGTAAAGAATCTAAACTAACTGTTGCTGAAATCATAAATTCCGAAAAAGTTTTGATTCGGTTGGTCAAAGCTCAAATTTCCCTGACATTGGAGCTTTAATCCACTTGATGTATTCATTGATAATGAAAAAATTATAGAGTTAAAACTAGAATATTGGAACGTAAAGACAATTCTGAATTTTTAACACCAAATTTTGTTACCGAGTAAATGTATCTTCACTACATTGTTAATTCAGTTTATAAGAGACATTGTCATGCTGGAACTCAAATGCTTCAATCTATTTTAAGAGAAAGATACTGGATACTAAAACAACATAAAACTGTGTGTAATGTGTTAAAAGGGTGTGTAATATGTCAACGATATAAAGCGAAACCCATGTCTTGTGAAGTGACTGCTTTTCCTGAAGATCGTGTAGGAGATTAGAGGGATTTGAAATTTTGGGAATAGATTTAGCTGGCCCATTGTTTTTTAAAGACGGTAAGAAGGTTTGGATGGCACTGTTCACATGCACTGTGTACAGGGCAATCCATCTACAACTGGTGACTTCGTTATCAACAGAATCTTTTCTTTTGGTTTTAAGATGATTCATTGCCAGATGTGGCAGACCACGAACCATTTATTCTGACAATGGGACTAGCTTCCGAGGAACTTATAATGAAATGTCTAAACTTAACTGGGACATAATAGAGAATGAGGCAAAAATAAAGAGAATAGTATGGAAATTCAATCCACCACAGCCTCCTGGTGGGGAGGTTGGTGGAACGGCTAGTTCGCATGGTTAAAGACTTTAAGACGTTCTTTGGGAAATCGGTTTTATTTTATGAAGAACTGGAAAACTAATTTGCGATTGAGTCGTAATTAATTCTCGACCTTTAACATATATTCGGAGAACTCTGAAGATCTATCCTTTAACTCGTCAATGTTTTAATTGAAATGAGAAAATTGTACTTCGGATATAGCAAATTTAGATAAAATTGACTCTCAGCATTTTCTGAGAAGAATTAAATACCATGCAAAACTTCTTAACGATTTAAGGAACCATTTCTGAAAAGAATATTTTGGGCAATTAATAATCAAACAACCACAAAATAAAGTAACTCAGTTGCCTAAAATTGGCGAGATAGTCTTAATAGGGGAAGATTTCAAAAAACGTTTGTATTGGCCTTTGAGTAAAATTATACAGAAAATTCCTGGTCGGGGGAATCCAAAGTTCAAGCAGTTAATCTACGAACTCAGATCAGGATTTTCATAAGGCCCGTTCAGCATATTTATCCACTAGAGACACAAATAGATGAAAATTATTTAATTGAAGAGCCTAACGACGATAAGAAAAATGATCAGACCGACATAGAACATATAAAACAGAAATTTATGTCATCAGGACAGATTGTTAAGAAACTTGATGTACTAGACCTTTTAAATAGGATAACCTATGTTTTTGAGTCGTTTGCCACTGACTCAAAAAGGGGGGAGGTGTTGCATAACGAGAAAAATGTTAAGAATTTTATTATTATTTTTATTATTAGTCTATTTTTCAAAGTGTGTTTTTTTTTATTGTGTGAAGTTGTACTATATGTCTTTTTTGTTGGCAACACGCTGCTGTAATCTCAATTGAACTTTGATGGTGCAAGTGAGGCGTTAATGCTCGTGAGCGTCGATTTGATTGTAGGAAACAGTGTTTCAGAACGTTATTTCTTTAAAAAGGGAAAAAAAATTTTGTTTTCGAATCGGATTATGCAAACGTTATTTAGTTTCAACATCTCGTAAACCAATTCCTCTTGATTATTATCAGTTGATTTAGGAATCACCACTAATTTTTAATTGTCAGAGATTACGCACATTTATAAATATATGCATAATATATTATAAAACCATTATATTTACAGATATATCAGATATCAAAGATGAAACTGATAGCAAGTCCTCCACTGTGATATCTCCAAGGGCCCAAATGCCTCAGATGCAGATTCAACATCAGATTCCTTCTGGTGGACCCTTTTATAGACCATTGACACCCCACGAGGGATCTACGATGAGGCCTCATTCGAGGAGCACCTATACGAATCCTAAATACGTTGCCACACCTGGAAGTAGTAGTTCTCACCAGCACATGCAACCTGCTGCATATTACAGTTCTCTACCAAGAAACAGTGCCTACAGAACATGGAATGAGTATGGAACATCTGGTCACTTCAAGTTTTAAATGTGTTCAAGACAGTGATTAACATAATCACCCTTGTAAGACTGACGCATTTACATAAAGTTATAAAACAAAGATATCTCATACTTTGTTATAATAATATATTAAAGAACATTTTTTGTTATCTTTTAGATAGTATTTCCCAACCACGAGTAGTTGAGGATTTGGTATTATATAAATTTTCAATTAAATAGTCCAAATTTTGGAAATCGGCAAATACACATATCGGTGACATCTGTACGCGTGTATGTTTTGGATAAGCTAATATATCATATTTTCATCTGCATTCTTTTCCAATCTCAGTA